TATATATCTATATTTATGTTTATATAGGATTATATGACCGTCAGCAGTCTTCGGAGATCACCTCAATGGTTAATTAGATGGCATCTTTACTAAAATACACACGAAATGCTGATACATATTATCGAGTCCATGCATCGTAAATGGTTAATTGTAGACTTTTTGTCATTTACTATGTTATAAATCAAATATGAGAATTTGAGTCAACATGAAACTGACATCTATTGCAGCTTAAAAACATATTGATTTGATTAACTTTCTTGGTATTACTTGGTTATATAACTAATGGTCATCGAAGTTCCTGATAAGGTAGATGTACGGAAGGCTAGAAAATTACACGTTTGACTAAAATATACTACCACTGGGTCGACACCCTGAATGAAGAATTTTGAACTCGAGCTGTCACGCATTTCAACTCAATAGACAATAATTGTTTCGTTCCTTGTTATGCTTTTATTAATTCTAAGTTTGCAAAGTCTATAATTTAAAAAAAATGGTTTTTGTTTGGCTGGTGTATTCGGGAGTTAATTCCATATGTTATAAACAATGCATTTTATACATTTAAGGTTTTTTTCAAAAATGAATGAGTAAATGATATAAACTACAATATATGCACCTTCATACATAATGCAGTTAAGTAAAACAAAAGGTTTGGAAATAACCGCCAAATATGTTTGACTATAAATAACATAATCTTTGAAATCCGTTAATTGCCATTTTTTATTAAATTGGTGTTCGTGGAATCATATGTCAATAATGAATCCTTATGTGAACAAAAAAGGAGGTCGTCAATCACCCAATAACTGACCCAAAATTTAGTACAAATTTGATGGTTGCCATGTGCCCTTCCATAACTCATATCAAAGGTGTTCAGTGAATGAAAACAATTTTCACTGTTGATAAGCTACCATGACACATCCATCCCCCTAATTATTATTCTATTCTAAAAATTATATGATTTTCTATATTTCAAATTCTTTATATATTGTTGGTTGTTGTATATATTCTGAATTGAAAAGGTATTGTACACTACAGAATTGATCTTATATCTTGTGAGACTATTTAACCCCGCCGCATTTTTGCGCCTGTCCCAAGTCAGGAGCCTCTAGCCTTTGTTAGTCTTGTATTATTTTTAATTTTAGTTTCTTGTGTACAATTTGGAGTTTAGTATGGCGTTCATTATCACTGAACTAGTATATATATTTGTTTAGGGGCCAGCTGAAGGACGCCTCCGGGTGCGGGAATTTCTCGCTGCATTGAAGACCTGTTGGTGACCTTCTGCTGTTGTCTGTTCTATGGTCGGGTTGTTGTCTCTTTGACACATTCCCCATTTCCATTCTCAATTTTATGAAACAAATTAAAATAGAGCTTATTTCAATTGTTTATTAGATTTTTTAACTATGCATGATGTTTTAACAAAGGAAATGGGGAGATTGGAAACTGCATAAAATAAACTGTTTTAATCATTATTTAGATAGGCGCTATTGTGATCACAATATGAATAATGTCTTTTTTAAGTGCATTTACATTTCTTGATGTTATGCATTATTCTTTATTGTGAGCAGACACCACAATGACCAAAAATTAAAAGAACAACAATAACAAAACATTACATAGAAAACTATAGATTGAACAGTATGAACAGCACAAACAACCAAACGTAAACCCAGGTGCATCGGACGTGTCCTCAATTGTCGCTTCATATGTGACATTCAAAACTTAATTTTCTTTGGTCACTAATGGGCCTTAATATCAAATCAGGAGAAATTGTTTTATATTAGCAAATGAGATAACTATTCATTAAAGACTACAAGACAAAGATGTGATCAATCAAATGTCATCGTAAGGCCTTTTACAGTGAGAAAACCCATACCATATAATAAGTTATAAAAGACACCAGGAGGACAAAATGGGATTAATCAAAAAGAGAAAATCAAGGTCCTGAAACAGACAATACAGAAAGTTGCGATTTTAAACATACTATTGAGCGTTTATCCTCCCCTTTATCTGTGACAATGGTGTCAAAACAGAATGAGAAATGAAGGGCTTGACTCATCAAATCGATACTAAGCACAAATACAACCAACACATTTACAAAAGACACAAACATTAAAAGGTATTCGCAGTTTTTGAACAGTAGTCAAAGCCAAATTTCAATTGATAAATAAACCATATTTTCACTACTAAAATTCAGTACACCTCCAACGACTTTAGTTGCAATGCCAACCAAATAAGTGTCATCAAAATCAATCAACATGCATGCCAGAAAAATGTAAATACCTAGAAGGCAGTTCATACTTGAATAAAGTCTATGTAAGTTATTATAAGGACAATATTCATGATAAATCTTAATTTACCTACTTATTCAGCAAACGATTAGAGCTATTATAATATTCATATCCATGTAACAGCTTTTCAGTGGCAAAATGACATACAGCTGGTATTAATTAGCATTAATTTAAAACTGTTTAAATACATGTATCTGCATGTATTGATAAATTGATCCTAAAATTGGCGGTTTGTATGGCATATTTAAAGCAAATGACTGCATTTCGTTATGATAATAAAAACACAAATAAATCCGAAATACTATGGGCGTATTTAGTAAAAATCGAAGTAACGATTTACAATTACTTGACGGTATATTATTTTTTTTAAATATCTAAACAAAAAATACTAACATCATACTTAAAATGTCTATCTTTTCGCAACTTTTAATTACTTAAAAGAGGAATTTTAACGACTACAGCATATCTAGTTATACAATACAAAGTTGCACGAGTCAAATGACTATTCTTTTAAACAGGACAGTTTCTGGTTGAAATTGATTGAATGCTAGTATAGTTTGCAGAGTAAAAATATCATAACTATTTACTTAGATAAAACATCCAGCTTATAAAATACTTCATAAGAATTGACTCTCTAGAAAAAGTAATAACGGAATTAGCTGTATCAAATAGGTGTTTGAAGTTAAAAGTTTGTCAGACGCAGAAAAATAAAATAACGAAGCCACCATAGGGCGAAATTCGAACAACTCGTGGTGTTTGGTAACAGCTTTTCGTTCTGTCGTTTTTCAAACGATCTTTGTGCCAGTAGGCATCTCGGCAGAAACAAAACTTCTTTTGTTAGGTGGTACAAATACAAAACGCATTTCTGGAGTTTGGTTTGTCTCCTAGTCTTAAAACTGAAAGGAACATAATTTGGAAGAAGTTAATACTTAATAGGTATGCTACGACAATCAACCAGTTCCGTATACGGTTAGGGAAAAAGTCAACCGGTTCCTTTCCAATTATCTCTCTTTTACAACAAGATGTAAAATAAGCAGTGAGAACTTTACGACGTTCTTTCCGTTTAGTTTCAAAAGTTAAAAATAAAAATGGCTCTTAAAAGGTTCAAAACCTTCCGTATGTATGCTCTCTGTCTGTATGTCTGTCTGCCTGCATACAAGTGTGCATGTCGTATCCGATTCAGAACTTATGAATGCATTGAAAGTTGTTAAGGTACGCGAAGATGTGTTATTAATAAGTTTGGAATGTCAGCGCGGTCAAGGTCACAAACTAGCTTCAATTTTGATACAAAATGTTCAATATTGTCCACATTTTATATATCGAGAAAAAATTTAAACAAAGAGATAAATGGATTAAAAATGAAAGAATACAGAAATGAAGACCGTTCCATCCTGATCCCTATATACTTATTTTTGTCCGATTGTCTGACAATTTAAAATATATACTAGCCTCTCATAAAGACTGCCGATTTCGATTGAATTTCATGAGGAGATTTCACGAAACCTGAAGGGAATATTCTTATTGGGTTTTTTTCAAAATTCAACGCGTTGTATATTTAGGCGACATTAGAAACAACCATTATTTACGTAGTATGTTTAAATTTAATAATATATTACGAACATAAAAATCAAGGTTGATACATCTGCACTCCAAAGGCGAGAGAACAAATTCGTGGATATGTCAGCGTCTCCTGCATTGCATGTATAGTCAAAGTGTTACAATCGGGTATAGGACACAATCGGTAAATTTACAGATCAGACGACTTTTCTGAAATCTAAAGATCTAAGTCCATGAAAATACGTCGCTAGCGAGTTGAGGCACATGCATATTGTATTAGTCAACCAATTCATGATGCTTGTCATACAACTTATGTAGTGCTGATTTCAGTCTTTTTCTTTATAACCTCATTGTAGTTGTTTTTGTGTCAGGTGCACACTCCTGTCAATGAAGTCTATATAATGTTAACATGCATGAGCGTAAACAAGGGACGGGAGCGGTTTTTTTTTGTTTTGTTTTTTGTGGGCTTTGCTCACAGTACCTCTAGTTTTAATTCCTTCATCAAACAGAATTTAGATGTGCACAATGTATGAATTGGCATATTAAACAGTAAATTAGGATTTCCGTTAATTTCTAATACTTGAAAGATCTATAAGATTTTTTTCAACGTTTACCATGTGATCTTTGATGTGCTTTTGCTTTTCAGGGAAATAAGGTCCAAATATTGACAGATGAGCGTTTAGATATTTTTCCCTGATTATTAGTATTGACTTTTAAATTTTCAAATTAAGTTATTAATGATTGCTCATTTTCCTTGTGAGTACAGCTTCAAAGGGTTGAACTTCAATTTTAATAGTACTACGGTGTAATTAAATTAAGATGATGATTAACTATTTAAATTTATATTCCCGAAGCACGACCAGATTCTCGTACTTCGGACCACTACTTTATCGCTGTTCGGGTTTTTTTTATTATCTTGAGTCAGTCTCATATTTCATGTAATGTAGGTATGAAACGTTCAAATCTTTGCAGCAGATAATTCAAAATTAAATGCAACTAAATTTGTACATGTTGACATGTTTGAGCATTGCAATGATAATTATGGGATATCAATGTGAATTTCCGAAGAATTTTCAGAAAACTAAACTTACCTTTTCATTTTAAACCATATAAGTATCACAATTACAATAAGTAATAAGATGATTAATGCTGTGAAACCTGAAATGAATCCAATTCTGACTTCTTTCTCTCCTGTTTAAAAGAAAAAATTGTATTTAAATAACCAAGGATGCTATTCATGGCATATCAGTCTGATAGTTCATGTTTGGTGTATACGAAGCTTTTTCAAACATGGGTGATTGAGATCAAAACATATTTACTAAACATCTGACGATTGGTGAAGACTGTTTGTTGACCTCTCGATTGTGTATAAAGTTGGGTTGCTGACATATACCCACCAATTCCTTTTATACATAAATAGTATTCAATCCAATTCAGTTTGATGTGCGCTTAGAGATTCGGCTTCATCTACTGTCTTGATAAATTATTGTATTATATTATACTTCACTGAATGATTGAAAATTATTAATTGCATAGCTCATGGTAACAGATAAGCTTTCTTGCCATTATACATAGATGGTAATGTTACCCGAAATTCATGCGAGAGGACATAACCACACAAAATATATGTATTTCCGTGTCTTCATTATTCATATTTAAAGTGTTATGTTGATATTCTTTTAAATCTACGCAGAAGAGATTAACAAAACGTTTAATATAAAGCTTACTTACTGATTGGTCAAATATGATTTCCGGGTCTATCATTTCACAAGGTTACCAATATATTTATTTAAACATCTGAAACAAGAAAACATGGCTTAACCATGATTAAAAACAAATAGCAAATACTTTGGTATATATTTTACATCTGTTTGCAAAATAGTAAAATGGTTTCGACTTATTAACCATTGACAAATAAGTTTTGTCTACTCATTGTTGACAAGCATGAAATCTTACTACGACTAATGGTGACATATGAGATAAAGCTTATCCTTAACAAACAATGGATTTCAAGTTGAACGTATTTTCAAATGTAAATTTGATAATAATCCTCTTCAGTTTTGGAATTTTCTTTTTTGGTTAATGGAAAACATATTATACAAATACACTTCTATGATGATTTTATTCATATACTCACGCACATCCCACTACTCTGTCAGCTACATACACAGCAAAGCATGATCCTCCATTCAAACAGGCTAATGTTTGTGTCTCGTTATCTGTACATTTTAGTCTATGATTTTCTGGAATTGTTTGGTTATTTACTAAGTATGTAAGTTTGCCAAGATTAGAATTTTCGGAACTTCTAATGCAAGCCTCTAGAAAAAATATAAAAAGTCAGATATAATTTCACAATTATAGATTTTCAGCATTTTTTTTATGACATAGAATTTGTATGGGTATTTTCATGAATTGTTTACAAGTAGTTGAAACAAATCATAATTGATCACTCTACAATTGTCTAAAACAGATATGTTACGTCAGGTAATAAAAATTATATAGCTTAATTAAGGCGACATTAGTTTACCGATGTTGAAATCTCGTAAATAGTTAAGGAAGAAACAAATCAAAGAAACAAGTAAACATTGGTGGATTCTCATGAACTCCAAACTGGTGCGCCAATTGATGAGAGTGATGAGAAAAAGCTCACTAGGCCTTTTAGGACAGATGAGCTTAAAAGGCATCTCAAAATCCAGAAAAGGTTATAATTTTCTGAAACAAAAAATGCATACAAAATTGAATTATCATGTTCCTTCTATGCCTTAAACATGGTCCAGGTGCACAGGTTTGTATGTACTCAGAGTAAATTTTGTGGTGTAAATACGGCCATATTTTTTAATTTCTTCTGATTAACCATTACATTCTTTATATGATCGGACGTGAACGCATATTCATACATTTCGTTTGAGCAAGGTATTTACTATCGGACGGGGGGAAGTACAAATAATTACTATATCTAATTAAGCAAACCACTTTGGCTATTGTTACGAGAAACACTACATTGACTGAAAAAAAGTGCTGATTATGACTGTAAAATAATTATTTTGAACCTTTTCTAAATTATGTGGCATCTGTAACTCGAATGATATCAGTCGTTATAATCCGCTGATCCCCGATCGAGGATACTTAAAACGAAAGTTTGACGTAATCGTATCTTTGGCCATACATTTTAGGTTCAATTTATCTAGAAAAATGATTCATTGCAGTAAAGAAAGTTCTGTATTTCTGTCTTGACACGGAATTTATTGTCAAAAGTGTGTAATTTTATATATGCAAATACTACTAAAGACTAGAGTATCTTTTGTGACAGAACCAGGAATAATTATCCATGAAATAACTTCGATTTCGAACGTTGGAAAGTTTTTTTTTTTTAATTTTCCTATAATAAATCAAATTTCAATAAAATATCATGAAGAAAATTGAAAGGAATCGGCATTTTTGTACCGTTCTGAGGAACAACTTTTCGTAAAAAATCCGAAAAAAATATCATTTATATCAAAATAATTGATGAGCTTTGTATTGTACATTTTTACCTGCATACATGGAGATCAGAATACTGTACAAAAGCAGTATTTTCAATAATTTCATGATAAGTTTTTATCTTTCTTCCTTTTTTAGGTCTGCTGAAATTAAAAGACAAGATAAATGCAGGTTACGAAATATGTTAAAAACAATGTTATGATCTAAAGACAAAGATAGTATAGAACTGCAGCGGATGATGAGAGGGATTGATGTGTGTAACATATCGTTTTGGTTAAGGTCTTGGTTCATATTTTTTTAAAGTGTAAAATGGTCATTTTAGATCATGTTAGTGATATTACAAGTGACCATTTTGCCTCAAATATCAAGATTGTATTTACCTATTCATTTATCAATAGAATTAACATAATTTTGAAAGCCTTGAGTAATGTTACTATTTACATTTTCAGGGGCCAAATAATGAATTGTATCGTACCTTCTCCTTTAATTATTCTGTTATGTATAAAAAAAAAGTTTATACCCCTCTTTTTTTTTGCCGCTTAATATTATGTCGTCTAAACAAGGTATGAATACATGTTATTTCATAAATATGTAATTTTATTTCACTATATCCAGCATATTCATAATGCAAAAATATAAAGATACTATTAACCTAACAATATGTAACACTAGTAGCCAAACATAAATACCTTATATTTGATAATTTTTTATCTTTTATTTGATGTGCTTAATGTGATTTATTGTTTGGGTGTCCTAAAATTTCATTTTGAAAATATATTCAAGAGTTTTATCCCAAATACTTGAATATCATTTACGACTCGTCATATATCTCTGATGTAGTTATTTTTAATCAAGTATAGACTATTTTTTGACAAGAGTAGCAGTATGCATGACGATGCAACACGATTTATGTGTTGTTTTTGTGTAATTCCTCGTGCATTCGTTGCATTACGTGTAAATTCACACGCAACCTTTCATTTCTACTGAACTTACCTTACAAAATTTCAGTTATTAACCTTCCATTGCATATCCAAAAGCTAATGAATAATTGTAATTGAAAGTGCATGAATTCAAAGAAGAATTATGGTTTTTCTGCTTAATCCACCCATTTAGTATACCTATCCGTGTTTATAAATGCAAGGTGAATTGATTACAAAAAAAAAGAGTTTTAAATGTCTACAATGACCTCTTATTTAATAACTAATCACGATTTTAAATACCACACATATTTTCCTTTTGAAGCTACACACCAAAATTATTTCATTCATAATGCTCACATACCAATTAACAAATAGAGCTTAAACCGGTAACTAGATATTCTTCAAAAATCCAGTGCAAATCTAGAAATCCTATCACAAAGACATAAGCACTCAACTTAATAATTTTCACCTTTTTTCAGAACATCATTCAGTCTTTATATTAATTCATAATATAATAGCTTCTAGATTCTTAGATATAAGCATATTTTTATATTGTTTATTAGAAAAAAACAGTAACTGCCCAACCCAAACAATTCAACTTCGAAATTTATCGAACAAGAGTTGTATTTAAAACATTTATTGTTTTGTGTAAAAATGATTATTAATTATCAGTTACGCTGTACAATAAGACGATGCAAAGGCAATACAAAAAAGCATTACATTACCCTATGCGAAGTACTGATTTACTGAAAGAAGAAATAGAGATGTAAGATACCAAAGTGATATTAAAACTCATTAATCGAAATAAACTGAAAAACGACTTGGCAAAAAACTTAAAAACGACTTAAAGACAACCAACATTACATAAAACACTACATAGCAAACTGAGCAACACTAATCCCATCAAAAACCGGGGATAATCTCAGGTGCTCCGGACGGGTAAGCAGATCCTGTTCCATTAGTGGCACCCATCGTGTTGCTCATGTAAGTACAAATCCGGTGATAAGTCTATTTCGGTAAGTCAAATTCGAGGAAAAGAGGACGGGATTATAGTTTTAAGTGAAGACACTTTTTATAATTAATTTTGGTCCCATGCCATTGTATCATGCTACATTATAAATTATATCCATCATGTATCAGAAATTGGAAACGATAACCAGCAATTCCACAAAAATTAAATTAGATACTTATAGGTTGCACTTCTGTAAATATAGACAATGCAATTTCCCATAGGAAGTCCTTTTACGGCTCAAACTGTGCCACTTTTAATATGAAGTTTCGTAAAAAATTATATGCTAGAATGGAAAGTTCATATGCACTACTTTTCACTTTGTGTCTTCCTCAGAATTCAATTTGGCCGCTATCCATGTGGATTTATACTAGTAACATTCCCATGTTATGTCTCTATGAGATGAAACATAGAGATCATATCGGGAAATCAGAAGGTAAACAAAACAAAATATCTGTGATTATTATATATCTCCACAAAAGAGGCGTGGTTTGTGAAACAGCTGTATTTACAAAGTGCAACCTATAGACTAAACCACAGTAAAAATTATAATAACACTTTATAAATGTTATAAACTTTATAAATATAATAAACTTTATCAATTTTATAAACTTTAAAAACTTAACTACAGTAAAGTTTTAATTTTGTTATTTTTCTTGAGTGTTCATATTATTTACCGACAGATAGGATATGACAAGTTTTTAACAATTATAAGAAAAATCAGAAAACACATTTTGTTATTCCAAATGATCAGTGAGTGACCAGACTAATCATTAGAAAATTTAAGATTATCAATTGCCCATTTTAACAGAATTTATGGAGTGGTTGCTTTATAAGAACGTCAATCTTCTCGTCTTTATAATTAACAACCACATCATTCTTTACAAGAGATATAAAAATGATTTATTGCAAAATATTCTTATATTTGTATGCATGTTCATGTAGTTAGATTATTTTTTTTAACCATCTCGATGGTCCCGCAGTAACTTGGTCGCCTCGAGTGTGGGTGGTCGTAGGTTGGAATCCCGGGCAGTTAAAACTACAAACGTAAAGACTTAAAAATTGGAATTTGGTATTTCTCCATTATGCACTTGGAATGTTTCTGGCATTTATAAATATTTGGAATTTAGTTGACTTGGAGTCATGATAATGTGTCCCGGATGGGCTGCTACCTTGTACAACAGCACTTTCTAAAATCTAGTTCAAAGCAGGTTTCATAGTCATGTTACATTAACATTTTCACGTCCAGTTATGCATTTATTATTTGAAACTGGAACATTAATCAATTCATCCATTTACCTGTTCATCTCTGTATTAAACTAAGAGTGACTTCTTTAATACTAAACACGCAACACTTTAGATCAGAGCAAAAACTGACTGGCCCTGAGTCAGAGTTATATCTTGGTAGAGTGATATGTTTCTCTGCAAACTACTAGTACTTTTTATGATCGCAGGTGAAATATTCGATATAATCTATCATGGTTCTACTGCAACTATTTTCGCTTTGTATGTTAATGAGTCGTTTAACTGTAACAAAAAAGGACCAAATGTAATAGAGGCGTATGTAATTTACAACCTTAACTAGAAATATAACAACATGTAACTGCACATTTTGCGTTAATATTTTGCTGTTAGATACTTAAGGGTATTTGATAATATGAAAAGATAAGAGGAAACATGATAAATTCATTGTTTCTTTATTTCAATTATGACATATTTGTTACGTAATTATTTTTTAACGCACAACTGCCATTATCGTAATCCTCTTAAATTCAGATTTATCTTTTGTCATTACATAAACATAGTTAACACAAAAATACATACACATCTGTCTCTTATCATATAGTTTGACCATATAGAATCATAATAATTGAATTCTTGTATTTTTGTCTTCTTTTGTCATATTCAAAAGAGATAAAGGTTCCATATTTTATACTTTGAATACAAAATAAGAGATCCACTACAACTAATATATATATACAAACATTCTATCAAATTTAAAGCCTCTGGATAAGGAACTATAGGAAAAGTGGACTACATAAAATGAAAAACATCCAATGTTGTTAGCCTAAAAATGGAAATAAAAAAACTGAACTCCAAGGTAAATTCAAAAAGGAATCAGTCTATGAAACATGACAAAAACAAATGTTCGACTATATTAACCAACAAAGCGTCACAACCCGTAAATTACACCAAAGTGTTCTAAATCCATCCGCAAACTGTGGTACACATTTGAACTTTTTATATACCAATATTTTACACGTTTAAAGACTACGCTGAAATCAATAGGAGGAGTTGATTACACAAATATGTAACCTGCTTTCTCCATACGCACATCCGACATATACCAAGTACTTAAGTTGGTTAAGCCGGGGGGAGCAATTCGTGCAACCGGGGCAATAACAAACATTATTACATTAACAGTATTTTTCCATATAGAGGAGTGCATTAACAGGGTGTAAATTAAGTTATTACTCTATCCATTCTCGCACTGACTACTGTTCATAGGAATAGCAGTGAATGAGAGGAGCTTAGACCAGTGCAATAAATTCTATCTCAGAAGTTGTTATTGTACTGTCTGGCTCCGCATCCATAGACTAGAAAACGAAGAAAGAATATAAAAGTGCAATATCATAGATAATTCAATTCTGATATAAGTTTACACTAAATTCAGACCCAAGAAATTAACAAAATATTAACTTGTTGGTAGGTCATTTACTTAAGGGGACTCGAACCATTTGGGGTTATAAAGAAATAACGTGTCCTTAAACAAAGATGCAATAGTGTTGAATATCAAATACTGTTATACCAAAACCATTGTTTAAGGGAGACCAGTTGGTTCTTGTTTTTTCTCCCTTCTTAGCGACACAGCAAGGTGTAGTTTCTACCTACTCATTTTGTGTTGTACAATTTGTGCCTGCGTTTATCGTATCCGAATAAATATTCCGAAAATAAATGTCACCGTTCAGTTCAGTCAATCTTTCAACTTTACACGAGGTTTATGTCCGTGAATTGATCATGCTGCAAATATGTGTCACTAGACGTTACTCAATCATTATGATTGAAACTTGCAATTTATCGAACAGGATTAACATCTTTCCCCAAGAATTTTCAGTGCGAGAACACTATTTGATAAATTATACGCTCTCTGGTCTGCAAACATGATTAGCAATCTCACGACAACAAATTCATTTACAAGCAGCGATATGCAAAACCTTCTGAAAACACCTGCTGGCATTTAAAAAAAAGTTTTGTTTTAACGCGAGCAATTATCAAATCTAGAAAACACAGTTGCTTTTCATTTGGCAGCATGTAACCACGCCTCATTTATTAATAAATTTGATGCACGCAAAGCTTCACTTCACTTATATTCGCTAAGCTTCACTCCACTTCAACATAAAGATTAAAATGAAATGGTATTTATCAAAGTTATTTAGAAATAAAAAAAAATGATATTAGTTCTATCTTGCATAAAAAGGGTATATAAAGTTCGTACGCGAATGACATAGTTTGCATGTTTGGTTTTGTATCTTTTATAGGGTTGTAAAAAGTAAAATTACAAAAATACAGAACTCCAAGGAAAATTCAAAACGGAAAGTCCCTTATCAAATGGCAAAATCAAAAGCTTAAACACATAACACGAATGGAAAACAACTGTCATATTCCTGACATCGTACAGGCATTTCCTTCTGCAGAAGACGGTGGATTAAACCTGGTTTTATAGCTACCTAAACCTCTCACTTGTCTGACAGTCGCATATAATTCCATTATATTGACAACAATTTGTGAGCAAAACAAACAGATATAATGGATAAAAATGTCAAAAATTGGGGTACAGCTGTCAACATTGTTTTATCATCTTAATCACTATAAAACAAACAACTAAGAAAAACAAAATGGTATATAGACACTCTATAGACAATGCACATAAGCAAAATGATATGTTTTATTTCCCGAAGTAAAATAATGTCCAGTCTTCATTTATACAAATTTTTAAGAAAAGTTCTATGGATTTGAAATTTGAGGTTTACCTGAAGGAATAATTTTATTTTTTGTCTTTGTTGGAATTCAAAACGACTATAAACCAACTTATGATTCTTCAGGATTTCCTCTTTAGTAATTGGCGTAAGTGTATGGATGTTGGGTTTTTTAGTGAATTGTCAACACTTTTAATCCCTTATTAAGCAGTTGATATGATGTGATGTTCAAGCAAGAAATATATTGTGTGAGGTGAGATTACTACAATTTTGTCAGTGATGTAGGACAAATGCTTAGCAATATCTGGGTAATGAAAACATATGTTACACGAGTTTACATGAACGTATATATCTTTCTATCACTATTTGTTTAAACGATTTCACTGCCTTGACCGTTTTAAAAAAATATCGTTTTTTGACGTTTTATCCTTTGTTTGGAATAGTGTCCGATTGAATCTATTGAATCTCTTCAACGTATATGTATTATAAAGTTGTGTATCTAGTTTTTGGATTTGGTATTTCGATCCTTCGGCTTACACCTTTCGTAGATAAGGGTCCCCATCCAGGATAATATGACAAACTGCGTTATTGATCGTTTAGTACAAAATGTATTAACAGAAATTAACAAAAAAAAGCGCGGTTTTTACGTTAATGCTGAAGTTGACGTGACAGAAAACGCGCGTTTACTGTTTGTGTCTATTACAATTTTGTGGTTAACGCATAATAAACGTGGCGTTTACATGAAGTGCACATGAGTTAACGCCGTGTTAACTCTTTCCTGTCGTGTACATGGTGTGTTTGGTCCGCACCCAACTGCAAATGTAATGAAAACTCGTAACAGATACACAGTAATCGTAAGCATAATGTCTATTTAATCTTTATCTGCGTTCTTCGTTTTATCATCGTATGAGGTTAAAGGTATTTCTGATGGATCGCTGTTTTGAACATCACCACTGTATAAGAAAACAAAACACAACGTATCATTTATTAAACTGTGTCTTGATGTGACTTCAATATAACATAAAGCACAGTGTTTTGATTTGCTTGCTCTCAAAACCTTACAAGACCTTTAGTGACGTTTGTCCCGAAAGAATAAATTTATCAAAGACATCAACAGAAATTACACTGTCGTAAATACGGCTGTTGACATAGACTTTCCTACAAATTTCTATAACGAGGTTTGTAACAGTTAAAAATGCATATTTTATAGCTTACAATTGGCTAGATGGAGACATAAAATGAATTTTCTATCATTTCTTGTATACTTCAGGAATATGGCAGATATGGCAGTTGTTATCAAATAGTTCGTTTCTATGTATGTTGGCGTTTGTTTTTGTTGCACTTCAGTGTTCATTTGTTTTCATCTTATAGTTGATGTGTTTCCCTTGAGTTTAGTTTGTAACCCGGATTTGTTTTTTCTCAATCGATTAATGACTTTTGAACACCGGTATACTACTGTTGCCTTTATTTATTCAAGAAACCACTACATAGTGTGAAAGTTGTGGTGTTCAGATGCAGATCTTAGTTCAGTCATTGAAATTTGGTCATCCACGATCGTTTGTTAGATAGAAGTGGCAGATTAAAATGTACCACATATTACTTTTCAAATTTAATGTTCTTGCCTAAAACAAAACTTTGTTGATAGCTTTGTCAGATGGTGCAAACTTAAAATCATTGCATATTTTTTTTTTTTTTTTTTTTTTTTTTTTTTTTTTTTTTTTGTCTTTTGGAAAATGTTGTTTGTGCTGTATTTAGACCCCTCTACCAAGAAATTTATTTTGCATGCACACGTATAAAAATTGCGGTTTTTATCCTACGCAATCATAGGTTTGAACGTTGTTTTCAATTTAGACTTGTATATATATATATATATAAATGAGAAATTGATAAATGAATATTCAAGTTTTAAATTATTAAATTTTGTCTTCTGATCAGTTTATATGTGGAAAGTCATTATAACAAAAAAGCTCACTTTATTTCAATTCCTTCTCTATTGGATCTGAAAAAAGTTATATCAATACATATATATTTTGGCAGTCTGATACGACTAAATTGTTTGATTGTTTTGTTTTGTTTATCTTCCTTGTTTTCAATTTTTAAAGGTTCATGTTAATAATTTTAAAATATGAAGCTGTTTATTTGAAAATTGATAATCTAATCCCTTTAATTTTCTATATATATATATCCTCAGAAGTGATAATTTTTCTTTCTGTACGTTAGTCAAAGCTTGTTCTGTTTCTCCCACATACTTAACACCACATTGTTGTGATTTTGAAAAATTTGATTTGTCGTTTTATTGGAAGCGTAGTTTAGGCCATAAACAATAATCGTAGTAGATTTAATAGTGGTTTGTTCTACTGAACGTGAAAAGGTTGCAAGGATATATATGTAGATGTAAATTAGTATTTCTAGTGAAAATAAGACCTACTGATGTGTTTCTTAAGTTTCAGTAAGAAAACCAAACTTACCTCTTCTTTGCACACTTTTTGTAAACGATTGCTAGAACAATAAAAAGTAAGAGGTAGCCTAAGCCTCCAAAACCTGAAATGTAGGCGATTTTGACTTCTCTCTGTCTTGCTGAAAATGCAAAAAAAGCATGCGCATAAGAAAAAATGATATTCAAGGCAGATCTTTTAATTTATCCTTATTTCTTTGAGACTTTGGGACAATTTAAGCTTTGTATATTACATACAAACATATGTCCATTCATAATGTGTGTATGTTGACACCTATACCTCTGCCGTGTGTCTGTTTATGTCGTTTAGGTGCTGTCTCATTAACATATACTCAACATCTTTTATTTATTAGCTGTATCCTATTCTGATCGGTTGGATTTACCCTTCCAATACATCTTGGTATAGTTTGTTTTATCAATTATTGCTTAATTGTTTATTACAATATATCACTGAATGATTGAACATCATTAACTACATAAAATGCTATAAAATCATCAAATATACAAGGCTTTTTATTAGTAATAGCACTAGGATCAAACGGTAAAAAATGCCAACTCAATTATTAAGTTAAAATGCTGTGAAGTTCAAAAAATATTTCAATAAAAGTTGTGCTAGTTTTTATTAATGAATTTAAGAAAAAAAAACATTATCTGGCTTCAAAAGGTAACTCGGATCCTTGTCAGTGTGGTTGCGGTATTTGACTGACTAGACAACGCAGAATATATATTCATTATAATTGCGTTTTTCTTTTTTTCATTTTTTTAGCTTTATGTAGATATTTTCCCCAAAGTTTGGAATTTACATGAATATTATTAATTAGAAATCAAGCTTACTGTCAGATTGGTCAAATATAATTTCTGGGTCTATCATTTCACATCGACTACCGATATATTTAGCAAAACATCTGAAACAAAAAAAATTGACTGTATATGAACGAAACCAATTAAAAATGCATTGATATATTTCAATAGTTCAAATTGGTAAGCAAAATCGTAATATGGCTTAAATTAATTCACGTAAAAAATAAGTTTTGCTTTTGTGTATTTGACAATATTATTCAATCTGTGGACAATTGATGCTATCAAATGAGGTAAAACTTATTATGATCTCTAACCGGATCTGAAGTTCATTTTTGGGTATCAATGTACCAAATGGAGATCTATGGACGCAGCTGTCTTGGTGAAGGGAACATGGCATAGAGAAGAAAAATGGTGGGTATCTGTGATTGGTTGTTATATTAGATAGATATTTTTTTTCTGGAAAAACTTCAGTTAAACATAGTTTTATTGTGAAATAATTAACCTAGGAATCAGAAGAATTTTGTTTATTAGTTGAGTTGAAGTGCTGAAAATTAGGGACATTTTTCTGCGGGATTGTCATGCGTTCTTGACAACCCCAAAATTCATCCGTAAAAGCCATTGGACCATATATATTTTGTGTGGCATTTCGATGACAATAAATTTTTCTTTCTTTTAGCACCACTTTCAAACACAGAATTTCTTTTATTTAGAAGAAATAAAACAAAAGGCTAACATTGTCGGCAATGGAAAACTATTTAGTACTTTGTATTCTAAATTCATCTTCTACTTACTTTCTGGTTCCCTTTTAGATAAAGGAATTGTATCGATTTAGGGGGAGGAAAATTTTATACAAATAAGTAGATACTCACGCACACTGCACTATTCTGTCTTCAACATATACAGCAAAGCATGATCCTCCATTCAAACAGGACAAAGATTGAGTCTCCTTGTCTGTACAATTCAGTCTATGATTTCTTGGAATGGTTTCATTATTTACTGTGTAGGTTATTTTGTCTAGGTTTGAACTGTCGGAACCTCTCATACAACCTTCTATAAAATGCAAAAAACTGTAATACCAAAACTCACAATTACTGTTTTAAGCATTTTCAATTGTATAAATCCTGCTATTTAGTTGCATTGCATCTTATAAAGAGAGTAGCAAGAGAAAAACAAACAGTAATTATTTATTGTCCTAGTAGCAAATACCAGATGGAGGCCACTACGTAAAGATAGGAGTTTGAAGCAAGACTCGTACGTGATATGCATTGTTTATATTGAATTAAAAAAATCAGTAGTGATAAAATCTAAAATTGGTTCAACTGAATTCTTATAAAAGTTTTATCATAGATAAGGCAACCAAAACTGAGAACGAAAAGATTACTTAAACAATGTATAGTTTTCACAATTGACAGCCAGCCAACTGAAGAAACGAAAGCAGCTTTCAGATTAAAATCAAATAAATATGAAATTCATGATTATCTTTTAGACTTTTTGCATGTAATTGAATATAAATACAAAGTGTATGAAACTTTTGGTTCGTCGAGTGATTTGTTAGCGGGAAAGCGATATCGGTAAACTCTTACTTAAAATATAAATAATATAATACCAGCTTACTAACGCAAGGTTACCTGTAAATATAAACATCAGACTGTAGCATGACGACAATAAGCTCAATAATGGCATGTTCCCTTCCCTGAAAATGTCACAATCATATTATGTAGAGAGAGTAAGATATAGGTTGAGTAAAACGACTGTTTTTATCTTGATTTAAATATTCAACATGTATATGCAATATAATATAAGAATAGTAACATAACAGTGATCGGCTACATAATGTCATATATAATCAAAAACAATAAGGTGCTAACATTTTAAAGCAATCACAACTTCAGTTTCTTACGTGCACAAGTATATTGTTCTTAAAGAAGTATTGAAAACCAGTAGGTTTAACAATATCTAACTAGATACTACAGCTTATCTAATTTTTTTAATGATAGTTAACACTATTTGAGAAAGGACGGGAGTCTTTTACATGTTCGAAAAATTTTTGTTACTAGTTTTTCAGAAAGTCATATTAGATACAGATTTTGTTCGTTGATTAAAAGTCTATTAACTTAGCTAAATAAGAGGATATAACTCAGATAATAAGGTTAATGAAAGTGCTGTGAATGTATCTTTTTTATTATGTGATAAGAAGTGTGGTGGCTATTTTTCTTTTGACTATCTAAAACATTTTATGAGATCACCACAGGTTTTTGATGGGGTCCGTGTTGCTCAGTCTTTAGTTTGGTTTTCTACGTTGTGTATTGTACACTGTTGTTTGTCTTCTGATCGTTTTTCATTTTTTTGCCATGACATTATCAGTTTGTGTTCGACTTATAAAATTGAATATCCCTTTGGTATCTTTCGCCTAACTTTTATAAGTGTTATCTTCTCATAAATAATTTCAAAATGCTTTCATTCCGTTTTCCCTTTAATCGTAAAATAATGCTTTTACCATATTTTTATCATTCCATCCGTACAACATATGAGAATTGAATAAAAACTGTAGCCTAAAAAAATGTTATGACGTATATTTTTTATTGTATTTTTAAAGTTGCCCAATATCAACTAAACTTTTACAGGTATAAACAAAGCCTTCATTTGTTTATATACACCGGTGCGATCTTTAAATGTCAAATGTATACATTAAGGTGTATATAGTATATTAATTTGTTTACCTAATTCTTAACATTCAATAGAATTCATTTGAAATATTTCGTTTGTCAATATGTTGATCGAGAGAGACCAAGATATTTCAAATAAATACATGTTTGGTGGCCTTGGGCTGTGTTCTGCTCTTTAGTCGGGTTGTTGTCTCTTTGACGTATTCCCCGTTTCCATTCTCAATTTTATTGTACATAAATCTCAAAATATATTTAACATGAAACCAAACATAAGTGAGTAATATTCGAACATTTTCTCTCTTCAATTGCTAGATGTGATTTATTGTTTGATTAATCCTAAATTTCATTTTTACTACCTATAACAAAATACAAATATTCTATTCTGACTAGTCTAATTCTGTTGATGTTTCTAGATTGTAGTTACTTTTTAACAAATATGTAGAATAATTTGCGGGAAAAAAGTTATATGAGACCATGCATCATGCGTCACATGCTTTTCCCCAGTCACTCTTCGTGGATTTACTGCATTTCGTATTTGTCGACAACCCCCAGTTTCTTTTCTAATAGACTTGCCTTAACAAGTTTAGCTAAACATACCTTACCTTCACAATTTCAGCTAAAAACTAACCCTTCCATACTAAAAAAGTTGAAATGTAATGAAAATTGCTTGCATTTCAGAAAGAGTTATTCCGTTCCGTGTTGAATTTAATAGAAAACAAATAGTTTAAATGTTTAAAATTACCTTGTATGTCAATGTGCTATATATTTAGCAATACATATCAATTAGAATACCACAAATATGTTCCCTTTAAATTAACACGAAAACTATTTCATTCATAATGCTCACATACCAGTTAACAAATAAGCTGAATACGGTTAATTTGTAGTCTTCCATATTACTGTGTTAATCAGGAAGATACATATGCGCTCCGTAAATTATTTTATATCACTTGACCTAATTTCAAAACAGCTTCCAATCTTTCTTGCTTTATATAAGTACTTTTAGATCTAAGCATGAATTTAAGATAATTGGTTTTTTTTCATTGTCACAACCCACGATTGGTCGATAACGAATTCCAGTTCAACTTCATAATATGTGAAACAAATATCTTCTATTAAAATAAAAATTATTATTTTCTGTCAAATGACTTTTTTCGCAATACTGCTGTACACTTAAATGACGAAACGATGCAGTACGTTCTGAAAATACAAAAAAGCAGCACATAACCCTAAACGAATAACCGACTTGTTAATGGAAAAATACGTAAAATTTTATTCTGGTCATATGTCATTACATCGTGCCAAATAAGAAATTTTTTTTTTCGCTGCGTTGAAGACCAATGCAATGGTGGCCTCGGGCTGTTTTCTGCTCTTTGGTTGGTTATTGTTTCTTTGACACATTCCCCGTTTCCATTCTCAATTCTTCATCGGAAATGTATCAGATTGTACAGTTATTTTGTAATAGTTGTTTTTTTAAAGGGTTCATATTATTCAACAAAAAATTTGATTTGCTAGTTCTTAACAATTACTGCTCGTGACAGATCAGAAAACGCATTGTATTATTCCCAGTGGGCAATGAGTAAAATTTTATTTATTTTTACAATTTATTATACTTTTAATGGTCACTCAATGAGAGTGTTAATGATTTGGTTATAATTGACAACCACATAATTTTCAACAAGAGATATGACAATGGTTTTGTGTTATGAATACGTATATTCCCTCAAGCAATAAATTTGATTATTTTCAGGCCCATTTTTGTGATATAAATCTTCACGTGTTTATGTCTTATACATCCTTGGTATTCAATAGTTTTGTTTTGAGCGTTCCGGATGAAGGTTAACCCAGGTTGATTCTTCGCTATGCAATTGGCTTTAAGGAGTAAGATCAAAGACTGATCAACTTGGAGTCATAATAATGTGTCAAGGTAGGTTAACATGTCTTCCTATGGACTAGAACCTTGGAACATATAGCCTTGAAAGGTCAATTATAAATTTGGGTTTACACATATATACATTACATTAATATGTCCGTCTCCTGATATTTGCCACTGGAAGTCAAACATCAATTCATCCATGTTTTTGTTTATTTTCTTAAGTGGTAAAGTTTACTGAAAATCCAAGATAAGAAGACCACCAATGGCGTGCCTTATCGAAAAATTAGAGTCGTCATATCTAATGTCGAATGCAGAGGCGACGGCGCGAAGTGGGAGAGGTCGAGTGGTCTCCACTGTAAAATATTTCAGTCTGTATGCAATTGCGTTTTTGCGTACGGGTTGTTATGCCAACATAACTAATAAATGGTTGCGAAGCCTCTCACGAACTAATTATGATATACGGCTAATTAAGCTACTGTGGTCTTTTCACCACCGTCTTTGCCTCGAGTGTGGTTAATAAAATAATCGAGGTCTTGTCAAATCAAAAATCGACTATTTCATGGCTAACACACAACACTAAAGAATAATGCAAAAACTGACAGGCTTTGATTCAAAAGAATACTTCTCGGTAGAATAATATGTCTCATTAAGAAATATTCATTCTTATTTGTGATCACAGTTGAAACATCCGACAGAACCAATGTTTCTACCGTCGCTGTATTGTCTTTCATGTTAATAGGTCGTCTAACCGCAACAAATAAACTAAGACGTATTTCATTTACACATCAAGGGGACAGAAAACTAACTGACACTTTTGTGAATATTTCACTTTAAGGTACTATAAATCTTTTAATAATATGAAAATAAAATAATTTTTTCCTAAAAGAGAGGCGAAAGATACCAAAGGGACATTCAATCTCATAAGTAGAAAATTAACTGACAATCAACAGTACACAAAATACAACATAGAAAACTAAAGAATGAGCAACACGAATCCCACCATAAACTGGGTGTGGTCTTAGGTGCTCCGGAAGGGTAAGCTCCACATGTGACACCTGTCCTGTTGCTCATGTTAGTACAAACCCGGTAATAAGTCTATTTCGGTAGGTTACATTCGTGGAGAACAGGACGGGATTGTAATTACGACAATTTGAACATATCCTATTCTGTGAAACGGATACTAGTATTCCATAACGACCAACCAACTCGTGACGGCGTCCGTAAAATTTACGAAGGGTTGATTTCAACTTCAACAGTTGGAAATCTTGCTTTAATAGCTTCCTTGTCAGCAGCAACCCTCTATCAAGGAAATCATGATACGAAATACAAGCCCTGGAATAACGTATAAACTGGGAGATATATACTCCATATGCAGGCACTGCTAGAATGTTGCTATATAAAAATGAAAAGTTCACAATTGGGAAGCTTATATCATCTCTTTTGTCGTAAAGATTTACTTTTAAACGACCCTCATTGTCAACTTTTAGATGTAAGTCAAGATATGAGGCAGACTTAACTGTATCTGTTGTGTCTTTTATTTAAAGTTCGTTGTGATAGATGCGTTCAACATAGTCAACAAACGTTGAATTATTTAGTGAGAGGACATGATTTATTAAGCGGAAAGTGAAGTAAAATAGTAATTCTAGCTTCTTTTTATAACATATCATATACGCTCTAAGGCCTACTAACTTTTTTGAAACAACAAATTAATTTACAAGTAGCCTAGTGAGATATAAATTCTTACTGAAAACATCTGCTGGTATTATCTAAAAACAAAAGACGTTTTTTTTTTTTTTTTTGTATACGTGGGTCATTATTTAATTTTCATTGGTTAGCGTTTTACCTTCGACAAGTGTTAGAACTGTAAATTTCAAATAAAGCCACGCCTTACTCATTAACAAATCTAATGCAAGCATATCTTCGCCTGCAGTCATTGAATATTTTATTTCGGAAATAGAACGCTATATATATATATATATAGATAATTTAGATAATTCAGCTAATCTGCAATCAATTCCATCTTCATGCCTAATATATAATGTACTATTTTACAACTTTAGATTCTACTGACGAGGAAAGGTAACACTAGGCCACCGAAAGATGAATTTTTAGTTCAGTCTAGGTGGCCGAGTGGTCTAGAGCGCTGGACACAGTGCAGGCGGTTTTGTCTCGATATCTCAATAGCATGTGTTCGAATCCCAGTGAGGGAAGAACAAAAAATTGCTTATATATATAACATAACGATACAATTACACGATAATTACCAAAGTTATTGGGCAAGCAAAAGTAATAACATTTGTTCTATAACGAATGAAGCAGGTTTATAAAGATCGTTCGAGAGTGGCATGATAATTTCGGATTTGTGTTTTATATTGGATTGAACATAAATATAAGATGTGGTATAATTGCCAATGAGACAACTCTCCACCAGAGTTCAAATGACATAAAAGTTAACAACTATAGGTCACCGCACGACTGCCAACAATGAGCAAAACCTGTACCGCACAGTCAGCTATAAATGACCCCGAAATGACAAATGTAAAAAAATTCAAACAAGAAAATGAACGTCCGATCTATGTGCAAAACAATGAACTAGAAACAAATATGATATATAGCAACAAACGACAACCTCTAAATTACAGGCTCTTGACTTGGGATAGACACATACAGAATGTGGCGGGGATAAACTAGTTTGAAGGCGCCAACCCTCCTCTTAACCTGAGACAGTGGTGTAACAGTACAACATATGAACAAACTATAAAAATCAGTTGGATACAAAGCAGAAATACATATAACAAAAACTCAGACATGACGTGGCAGGATACTTCCCTACAACAAAAAAGACACTAAGTTCAGATCTGAGAATACTCGCAGTTACTGACAGCTAGTTCAAATCCAATAACAACTAATTAAAAAATACCAAAAACATTAACCCCTGCTGCTGAAGACAAATAGTTCGTGCTCCACTAGTAACATTCGTCATCAGTCGTATTCAGTAATGTAACAATGTTACAATGAGGTGAGCAAAAGAAGGCGGGATTGCGGTTGTGTGGTCATCAGTAATAAAAATAAATTATAACGGTCAAATATCTCATGATAACTATAAAAGTAGAATGTTGATCATTTTAAATAAGATTTCGTTTGAAAGACCCAACAATACAACTGTGAGTAGGTACACTTATATATTGAAGATTGAAGGAATATCCAGGTCTTCTTCGTTGGTCGAAATTCGAAAAAAACAAAAAACTGATCTATAGTTGTTCAGAATTTCTTGAGGGCATATCTTTGGTTCTTGGATGAATTGTCAACACTGATTTTGACCCCTTCGCTAGCATATTTCGTAGAAAAAGTGTTGTTTAAAATGTTACGGTCGCCAATTGTAACGTGACCAGCCGGATTATGTATGAGGAATTTAATTAAATTAAATTTCAGACTTGAATTCGTTAATATTGAGATTCTGTAACACACGTGTGTAGTTAAAAGTTTTATTTGCAAAAGGTGTGTTATATGTATTTGAACTGGTTATTACAGACTGATTTTTGAAATATTTAAAGTCTTGATTTATTTTGTTCATTCAGTTATTCTGCCAAGATGTATGTACGCAAAGCACAATATTATTTCACCCTTCACCCATGACTTTCAGCCGATGTACACTCCCCGATATTACAATGTAGGACGGCATAGTTTCTATTTTAGAAACTTGTTGACTTTCATTCTTTTATCTTTTTTATTTGGCTGAAAGCTATAAATCGAAAACACTAGCGATTGCGTATCCTAACAAACAGAAGTCTGTATCTGCTAGATAAAATACATATGACCATTTGGATTAAGATAAACATACTTCTACATACTTTTGAATTATAACATCTCGAAATG